AAGAAAAAATGTCATAGGGGTTGATTATTTCAACCCCTTACAAAAATAGTTCAGGGTTGAAAAAATTTCAAAAAGTGTAGTTTTATTGACAGATAATGTTCACCAAGTTTGGTTTCTTTAGCTTGATGTACGTGGAAGATAAAAAAGAAAAACAATTTTTTTTTGTAATTTTAGGAGGGGCGTAACTTTTCAGGGAAGGGTTTTTTCAAAAAATTTTATACCAAAGACCCCTATTAATTTTCATCGGAGAATCGCCCCTTGAATTTTTTCGGTGTTATTTAGATACACCCTGTATATTTCAACACAATGAATATGAATGTATTTAGTTATAATTATTACAATTATTTAAATAATTTTTATTTAAATTAAAAAAAATATTTGGAAATTATTATTTTTTGTTAAATACAGAAAATTAAGAAAAAATAGTACTTTAAAATTATAATTTAAAAAAAAACTAAATTGCAAATTGATAAATGTAATCTGATTGTTTAAAAATTAAAAAAAAGAGTAAAAATTTATTGTGGCCGTCCTAAACCGATTTCAATTTTTCAAAAACCATTTGAAAGGTTTAGCGGTATTTTCTATGTGAAAAAAATTTCAAACATTTCAAATAATAGATGCTTTATTTGAGGCTGTGCAACATTTTGAAAATTCGAAAAATTTTTTTTCCTACTTTTTTCAAAAAATTATTTTGCGAAAACTATAGAACCGATTTTAATGAAATTTGTGTTGTTTTTTAAAAATATTAAAAAAACTTGATTATTTTGCCTTTTTTTCATAAATTATTGCTATTTTGCAACATCGGTAAACAATTTAAACATTTTTAACTTACAGTATATTGTGCAAAATTCAATTCTAAAACTTTTTTCCTCTTCAATATTCTTCCAAAATGCATAGATTCCAAGATATAAGTAAAAAACTCAGATAAAATAGATATTTTTAAAAAATTTTTAAACCATTTTTGCAATTTTGAAAATGTTCCGGGCTCCGCCAAGATCTAGGGATCTGCACTTTTATTAGATGAATTGTACTGAAGGTAATCCAGAAAAAATTTGCTTGCCCTCTCTCACATCCAAAACAGATCGCTCTGGTCTATAAGACAAAAAGAGTTGTTGAACAAGGAAGTAAATATCTGCAATTTTAAAATTTTCGCTGCCAAGCGGGAAGTGCGCGAGTTCAGGTCCTTTTTCTCCAGACATTCGACAACAATGCAATGTTTAACTCTCTCTGTTTGAGTTCGCACTTCAAAGGTGAAAATTAAAGTGTGGCAACATCATAGATATGTTTACTTCCTTGAATAACCTAAAAAATAGCTCTGTTCTCGTTCTCTGCAATAAAGTAAATGTCTTACAGTAAACTGGAGCATTCTCTCTGCTGCTTCCTGGTCTTCTTCGCTGTCACTTCCGGGTTCGGACCATGACGTATCGATGACCATAGCGATCCTTCCTTTAATAAGTGGCAAATTGGTTAGGTAAATAAAGGAAAAATAAAAAAAGATGGCATAAACCATAGACTGATTTATGGATGATGTTGTAATCTGCGATCAACTTGGAAGGAATATAAAAAAGGGTGAATGTAGTGAATAAGCTAATGATGATACACAGTAAGTGTCATATTTGGTCTGTACAATTTCAACTATGACAAATTGTTGCGGGTCGCCTAAATATGTGACGTCACGTTAAAAGAGTCTATTAGAGAAGCGCTTCAGGCATGTAGCGAGTCCAAAGCACTCTGGCCGTGCACGTGCACAAGATGCACAGGATCGGCTTAGATTTATAATTATCTCGAAAACCGAAGCATTTAAATAATCAGTTGCTTAATAAAAGCTGCTCATTTTCAAGGAATGCACTTATTTCAGAAACATCCTGTTTGTATTTTAATTTACTGACAACTTTTCCGGATTTCTGTCAAAAAGTGTCAGATAAGAGTTGTGTCAAGAAACTAATGCAGTTAAAACTATTTAGTACGATCAAAACACCACTTTTCAAATTTAACATATTGTTAGAGGTTAATAAATTAAAATTTGACAAGAGTACCATTCTGGAGACTGATATCTAATCAGCTATTACCATCTAATTTATTAGTGAAAATCCTGCATATTCTGTTTGAAACATATTCGTCAGTTTCTTTATGCGCAGTATCTATTGCAATGTGTAATTGTTTAATGTTCAATTGCGAAATAATTAAGAAGTCAAGTTCAGTGACTTTACTACTCTAGTGTGTAATATGATCCATATTATGTTACTTAGTATCAGGTGAATGTTATTTTCAGTGCATAAACATCAACAAACATGTAAAACATCAATCACATGTTAGTTGAATAAAATTAGTTTAAAATAGGAAGTAAATTTTCTTGTAATAGCGAGGGCGCCGTTTTTCTTTCCTTTTTCTTTTGTAAAAGTTTTAAAAATTTTGTTCCGTATTACAATAGTCTAAAGTTGGCGTTGCTTTGTAGCTTTAAAACAAACGAGACAAAATATTAAATGCTTTAGCAACGCTCAGTAAATTTTCTTCATGGCTGAAACCTACCTTGATTGGTGGCCCTAAATTCGTCGTCGTAGATGTGGTAAGCCTTGGCGTGAGCCAAAATTACGTTCCTAGCGCAAATATACTCTCCAACCCCATTGGAAACGACACCAGGAGCGAGATATCCAGTACCGTATCCCGCCTGACAGACCTGTTTCGGTTCGTTGATGGTGATCCACATCTTCACGTCGTCTTTAAACAGTTCGAAGCACAACCTCGCGTATTCCGCGAAGAGGTCCGCCACAGTCTCGTTCAACCAACCTCCGAGCTGATCCTCCAAGGTTTGGGGAAGATCCCAGTGGTAGAGCGTCACCATGGGCTCCACGTTGACAGCTTTCAGTTCGGCGAACAAGTTCTTGTAGTACCGCACGCCGGCCTGGTTTACCTTGTCGGGGTATCCCGTGGGCAAGATTCTGGCCCAGGCGATGGACAGGCGATAGTAGTCCAGTCCCATGGCTTTCACCATGGCCACGTCTTCTTTGTATTTGTGGTAGGAATCGCAAGCGATATCGAGAGTGGAGCGGTCGACGATTTTCTCTGGATGGGTGTGGACGAAGTGGTCCCAGATGCTTTCCGTTTTGCCGTCTTCATTCCAGCCTCCCTCGATCTGAGGGGCAGCATTGGCGACGCCGAATTTAAAATTCTTGGGGAAGTATCGAGAGTTGATCTCGTCATCTGCCAGTCTAGAATATGGCCCAGGAAAATCAGAACAGGGAAAATTCCAGAAGGGTTTCGAACAGTTAAACGCTATGGCATTTAATTGGAAACAATGAATTTTGAACCATAAGTAAGCATTGTATTGGAATACGCATGCGTCCTACTGTTGGAAACTGTTATGGATTGCTCTACGAACAAAGCTATTACTTTCGGAACAAGATCCAATCTTATTGCAAAAAAAAATAAAATATTCGTTCCTTTAGATACATTTTCTATATTTCACCATTACCACAAATCAGATAACTGCTAAAAACATAAAAATATTGGACTTACCCTACATAAAAAAGGGAAAACACCAAGACAAGGACCTTCATTATTGCACGAGGTTATTAGGAACACTGAAATTAATTTATTTTCAATCTATTATACTTAAACTTATCTAAATAGATTATTACATTTTGGATAAATATTTAAATGTAGTTAAAAAGTGTATCTGTATTTAAGAGATATGGATAAGAGTATCATATTTTAGTAAGTATGTACTTCATATATTTTTAAAAACGCTTCTCTTGCCACTTCAATGAACCTCTGAATGTTACTGATAAATTATATAAGTAGATATGTATACATTTACTGAACAGTTGTATGATAAGTTCAATCAAGGTATGGAATTTCTAAATAAAGCAAATAGCGAAATGTGATGAAGAATGGGATGGAAATGCAATTTTTACTCAAATGACTCATCTCTTTATACATTTTTTAAACCAATTTCTATTGTACCTACTTTTCAATCCGCCATAATTCGACATCTTTTATTCAGGAATTTTCTGATTCGTAACCAGCTACCACAAATACCCACGGTAACAAAATTCAGGCAAATTTATTCATACAAAAATGTGTGACTTAAAGAGGTAAGTGGGATCCTAGCCTGTAGGTGGTTTCCAATTCGAACCTTTAGAGGGGTGTTATATTATATTTTCTTGATATGTTGTCTATCAACCTACATTTATACAGGGTGTAACCTAAGTACGTTAAAATATTTAAGTGTATTCCTGAGTTAATTCTAAGAAAAAAAGTTTATACAAACCTAACATTTTATTTTCGATTTTTTAAATAACTTCAGTATAAAAAATACACAACTCTGTAGGTACTTATTATGTCTCTGGTACAAAACTTTTTTTGCGGGGCTGTGTTATTTTGCAAATGTATTTAATGATATGGGATCCCCCAAACTTTTGGTATTATTTTCTTTGTTTGGAAAATATAAGAATTAACAAATAGTTTATTTTAAAACAATACGTTACTCTTAATAATAATCAAGAAGGGCGACTTCTTTTGATTCAGTGCTAAAAGGCTAAAGCAATAGCAATAAACTTCATTGAAAAAGGCTTTGGTAAATGTTTAAACCTAGATATTCAGTTTCGTATGATTTATATTATGATTTTTAGATGGTACTCACGATCACGTGCTATTCTTAACAAATATTTATAACAAGGTACTTATGAATGTCATAACGATGGTGTGACAATGACTGCCAGTTTATTATAAAACAAACAGCACTCAAGTTACTGATAAGAAGATATCGGTACTAGTACTAGTCTTAACAATATTTGTAGTAAGGTACGGCTTTTTGCATATCTTGGAAAACATTTCAAATTCTATGATTAAGTGTAAAAACGATTATTATAACTGTTTGTTTCATGTTAAAAAATAATAAAGTGGGAGGGATAAACGTTTCGATGACAAATGAATGTAGGGAATTGTTCAGTCGAGGTACTGAGATGCATATAAATTTATATAAAAGTTACACAATGGAATAATATTGTTTATAAAGTTACACTATTATTAATGATGACGAAAATGTAAAAAAATTAAGGATCCTTTCAAATTACTTTTTATTCTTTTTGTATTATTATTTCTATTAATAAGTTTTGGATTCACAATTTGCTACATTTTGTTAGAAAAAATCTGGCTGTGTGTTAAATTTCATCAATTTATAATATCGAATATATATTTTTTTGCAGACTTAAAATTTAAATGTTTAAATCAAAATATAATTATTCGATTGGTGTCCGAGTTTTTAGTGAATCACTGTATGTACAAAAATGTGCACAAAACTAACAAAATCGAACATTTGGAGATAGGCATACCATTTTCTTGTCGTGAAATGTAAGGCGAGCTATTAAATTCGCCTATGTTTCCGATACCCTTAGCAATCCAGTCAAAATAAGCTTTCATGGCTGCGCATCCAGAAAAGAGAATTTGAATGAAAAAATCGCAGATCATTCGAAAATTTCGCGCGAAGCTCTGCAGACTGCGAGATCGACATGCAATAGCTCCGGAGACTGGTAAATCAATATCAATAAACACGCGAACAAGAGCTGAAAGCCCCAGACATCGCCAAGAAGTAAATATATAAAATCGCCGATGATTCCAAAATTCGATCGTCGAACCGCCCAGACGACAGTCTCCCATTCCAACGAACGGCGACGACAACCAGTGCCTAACCTACCCCCAAGGTCGCCGACGAGAGAAAAAATTAAACTTTTTTTATAAAATTCCACACAAAATACAGTATCATTCTACTTCTTTTTCTTATTCAGCCATTTCAGCAGCCAATCAGTGATGGACATATTAAATTAATAACAAAACAGCAACAAAATAAAGCTATGAACAGTTTAAATTTAATCAGAATTGGATCCTGCTCAGAAAACCTACTTCCGAAGGGCAACAGAGGTTAGCTTACGATGTTCAGTTAAAATGGCATATTGCTGTCTCTGAAAAACCGCCACAGCCAGTTGACTTTTGTGATGTACTTTCGAGGTTCGGTCTCAGACGCCCAACTAGTACAGTCACAGTCCGGGTTCACTCGGTGGAGAAGTGTTTTCCAAGGTTCGGGGATATTACAAGACTTGGTATCAATAAAACTTTTATTTTCTAAAATAAATCGCAGTCTATAAACACATATAATATTAACAATAATACCCTACCCATATAAATAACAAAAACATCGGGATACCTATTGTCACGAAGGCAATACGGATGTCCTGACGGTGACAACGCCGAGTGTCGCGGAAAGACCTGCTAAACACCCGGAGTCGGCCGCGAGGTAGACGTCAGGTACCGCGGAAAGACCTGCTAAGTACCCGGAGTCGGAGTCCAGGTGTGTACCTTACCTTGAGCGCCGCGGAAGAGACCTGCTAAACGCTCTGGTTAGGACACCCAGAGGAGGGTTGAGTGCCGTGGAAAGACCTACTAAGCACTGCCTGGTGTAGGTGACTCCGTTGCTTTTATACAGAACGGCTGGTAGTGCCGTGTGCAACTTCAGCCGTTGAAACGGCGACTTCGTGGGCCGTGTGCAAAATCGCGGTGCGCCAAACAATTATAATACAGCGGGAGCAAAATAAAATAAGTTCATTACTAAAATATAAATGAAATCCCGAAAATAAAAAAANATACACCCTGTATATTTCAACACAATGAATATGAATGTATTTAGTTATAATTATTACAATTATTTAAATAATTTTTATTTAAATTAAAAAAAATATTTGGAAATTATTATTTTTTGTTAAATACAGAAAATTAAGAAAAAATAGTACTTTAAAATTATAATTTAAAAAAAAACTAAATTGCAAATTGATAAATGTAATCTGATTGTTTAAAAATTAAAAAAAAGAGTAAAAATTTATTGTGGCCGTCCTAAACCGATTTCAATTTTTCAAAAACCATTTGAAAGGTTTAGCGGTATTTTCTATGTGAAAAAAATTTCAAACATTTCAAATAATAGATGCTTTATTTGAGGCTGTGCAACATTTTGAAAATTCGAAAAAATTTTTTTCCTACTTTTTTCAAAAAATTATTTTGCGAAAACTATAGAACCGATTTTAATGAAATTTGTGTTGTTTTTTAAAAATATTAAAAAAACTTGATTATTTTGCCTTTTTTTCATAAATTATTGCTATTTTGCAACATCGGTAAACAATTTAAACATTTTTAACTTACAGTATATTGTGCAAAATTCAATTCTAAAACTTTTTTCCTCTTCAATATTCTTCCAAAATGCATAGATTCCAAGATATAAGTAAAAAACTCAGATAAAATAGATATTTTTAAAAAAATTTTAAACCATTTTTGCAATTTTGAAAATGTTCCGGGCTCCGCCAAGATCTAGGGATCTGCACTTTTATTAGATGAATTGTACTGAAGGTAATCCAGAAAAAATTTGCTTGCCCTCTCTCACATCCAAAACAGATCGCTCTGGTCTATAAGACAAAAAGAGTTGTTGAACAAGGAAGTAAATATCTGCAATTTTAAAATTTTCGCTGCCAAGCGGGAAGTGCGCGAGTTCAGGTCCTTTTTCTCCAGACATTCGACAACAATGCAATGTTTAACTCTCTCTGTTTGAGTTCGCACTTCAAAGGTGAAAATTAAAGTGTGGCAACATCATAGATATGTTTACTTCCTTGAACAACCTAAAAAATAGCTCTGTTCTCGTTCTCTGCAATAAAGTAAATGTCTTACAGTAAACTGGAGCATTCTCTCTGCTGCTTCCTGGTCTTCTTCGCTGTCACTTCCGGGTTCGGACCATGACGTATCGATGACCATAGCGATCCTTCCTTTAATAAGTGGCAAATTGGTTAGGTAAATAAAGGAAAAATAAAAAAAGATGGCATAAACCATAGACTGATTTATGGATGATGTTGTAATCTGCGATCAACTTGGAAGGAATATAAAAAAGGGTGAATGTAGTGAATAAGCTAATGATGATACACAGTAAGTGTCATATTTGGTCTGTACAATTTCAACTATGACAAATTGTTGCGGGTCGCCTAAATATGTGACGTCACGTTAAAAGAGTCTATTAGAGAAGCGCTTCAGGCATGTAGCGAGTCCAAAGCACTCTGGCCGTGCACGTGCACAAGATGCACAGGATCGGCTTAGATTTATAATTATCTCGAAAACCGAAGCATTTAAATAATCAGTTGCTTAATAAAAGCTGCTCATTTTCAAGGAATGCACTTATTTCAGAAACATCCTGTTTGTATTTTAATTTACTGACAACTTTTCCGGATTTCTGTCAAAAAGTGTCAGATAAGAGTTGTGTCAAGAAACTAATGCAGTTAAAACTATTTAGTACGATCAAAACACCACTTTTCAAATTTAACATATTGTTAGAGGTTAATAAATTAAAATTTGACAAGAGTACCATTCTGGAGACTGATATCTAATCAGCTATTACCATCTAATTTCTTAGTGAAAATCCTGCATATTCTGTTTGAAACATATTCGTCAGTTTCTTTATGCGCAGTATCTATTGCAATGTGTAATTGTTTAATGTTCAATTGCGAAATAATTAAGAAGTCAAGTTCAGTGACTTTACTACTCTAGTGTGTAATATGATCCATATTATGTTACTTAGTATCAGGTGAATGTTATTTTCAGTGCATAAACATCAACAAACATGTAAAACATCAATCACATGTTAGTTGAATAAAATTAGTTTAAAATAGGAAGTAAATTTTCTTGTAATAGCGAGGGCGCCGTTTTTCTTTCCTTTTTCTTTTGTAAAAGTTTTAAAAATTTTGTTCCGTATTACAATAGTCTAAAGTTGGCGTTGCTTTGTAGCTTTAAAACAAACGAGACAAAAAATATTAAATACTTTAACAATGTTCAGTAAATTTTCTTCATGACTGAAACCTACCTTGATTGGTGGCCCTAAATTCGTCGTCGTAGATGTGGTAAGCCTTGGCGTGAGCCAAAATTACGTTCCTAGCGCAAATATACTCTCCAACCCCATTGGAAACGACACCAGGAGCGAGATATCCAGTACCGTATCCCGCCTGACAGACCTGTTTCGGTTCGTTGATGGTGATCCACATCTTCACGTCGTCTTTAAACAGTTCGAAGCACAACCTCGCGTATTCCGCGAAGAGGTCCGCCACAGTCTCGTTCAACCAACCTCCGAGCTGATCCTCCAAGGTTTGGGGAAGATCCCAGTGGTAGAGCGTCACCATGGGCTCCACGTTGACAGCTTTCAGTTCGGCGAACAAGTTCTTGTAGTACCGCACGCCGGCCTGGTTTACCTTGTCGGGGTATCCCGTGGGCAAGATTCTGGCCCAGGCGATGGACAGGCGATAGTAGTCCAGTCCCATGGCTTTCACCATGGCCACGTCTTCTTTGTATTTGTGGTAGGAATCGCAAGCGATATCGAGAGTGGAGCGGTCGACGATTTTCTCTGGATGGGTGTGGACGAAGTGGTCCCAGATGCTTTCCGTTTTGCCGTCTTCATTCCAGCCTCCCTCGATCTGAGGGGCAGCATTGGCGACGCCGAATTTAAAATTCTTGGGGAAGTATCGAGAGTTGATCTCGTCATCTGCCAGTCTAGAATATGGCCCAGGAAAATCAGAACAGGGAAAATTCCAGAAGGGTTTCGAACAGTTAAACGCTATGGCATTTAATTGGAAACAATGAATTTTGAACCATAAGTAAGCATTGTATTGGAATACGCATGCGTCCTACTGTTGGAAACTGTTATGGATTGCTCTACGAACAAAGCTATTACTTTCGGAACAAGATCCAATCTTATTGCAAAAAAAAATAAAATATTCGTTCCTTTAGATACATTTTCTATATTTCACCATTACCACAAATCAGATAACTGCTAAAAACATAAAAATATTGGACTTACCCTACATAAAAAAGGGAAAACACCAAGACAAGGACCTTCATTATTGCACGAGGTTATTAGGAACACTGAAATTAATTTATTTTCAATCTATTATACTTAAACTTATCTAAATAGATTATTACATTTTGGAAAAATATTTAAATGTAGTTAAAAAGTGTATCTGTATTTAAGAGATATGGATAAGAGTATCATATTTTAGTAAGTATGTACTTCATATATTTTTAAAAACGCTTCTCTTGCCACTTCAATGAACCTCTGAATGTTACTGATAAATTATATAAGTAGATATGTATACATTTACTGAACAGTTGTATGATAAGTTCAATCAAGGTATGGAATTTCTAAATAAAGCAAATAGCGAAATGTGATGAAGAATGGGATGGAAATGCAATTTTTACTCAAATGACTCATCTCTTTATACATTTTTTAAACCAATTTCTATTGTACCTACTTTTCAATCCGCCATAATTCGACATCTTTTATTCAGGAATTTTCTGATTCGTAACCAGCTACCACAAATACCCACGGTAACAAAATTCAGGCAAATTTATTCATACAAAAATGTGTGACTTAAAGAGGTAAGTGGGATCCTAGCCTGTAGGTGGTTTCCAATTCGAACCTTTAGAGGGGTGTTATATTATATTTTCTTGATATGTTGTCTATCAACCTACATTTATACAGGGTGTAACCTAAGTACGTTAAAATATTTAAGTGTATTCCTGAGTTAATTCTAAGAAAAAAAGTTTATACAAACCTAACATTTTATTTTCGATTTTTTAAATAACTTCAGTATAAAAAATACACAACTATGTAGGTACTTATTATGTCTGGTACAAAACTTTTTTTTGCGGGGCTGTGTTATTTTGCAAATGTATTTAATGATATGGGATCCCCCAAACTTTTGGTATTATTTTCTTTGTTTGGAAAATATAAGAATTAACAAATAGTTTATTTTAAAACAATACGTTACTCTTAATAATAATCAAGAAGGGCGACTTCTTTTGATTCAGTGCTAAAAGGCTAAAGCAATAGCAATAAACTTCATTGAAAAAGGCTTTGGTAAATGTTTAAACCTAGATATTCAGTTTCGTATGATTTATATTATGATTTTTAGATGGTACTCACGATCACGTGCTATTCTTAACAAATATTTATAACAAGGTACTTATGAATGTCATAACGATGGTGTGACAATGACTGCCAGTTTATTATAAAACAAACAGCACTCAAGTTACTGATAAGAAGATATCGGTACTAGTAGTAGTCTTAACAATATTTGTAGTAAGGTACGGCTTTTTGCATATCTTGGAAAACATTTCAAATTCTATGATTAAGTGTAAAAACGATTATTATAACTGTTTGTTTCATGTTAAAAAATAATAAAGTGGGAGGGATAAACGTTTCGATGACAAATGAATGTAGGGAATTGTTCAGTCGAGGTACTGAGATGCATATAAATTTATATAAAAGTTACACAATGGAATAATATTGTTTATAAAGTTACACTATTATTAATGATGACGAAAATGTAAAAAAATTAAGGATCCTTTCAAATTACTTTTTATTCTTTTTGTATTATTATTTCTATTAATAAGTTTTGGATTCACAATTTGCTACATTTTGTTAGAAAAAATCTGGCTGTGTGTTAAATTTCATCAATTTATAATATCGAATATATATTTTTTTGCAGACTTAAAATTTAAATGTTTTGTTTCAGTTTAAAATCCTAGGAGCCGTTGTATATGTCTGAAGATAAAAATTTAACGAATTGGTCAATAATTAACCTAATATTGTAAAAATATTGTCCTGTCTAAAATTATGAAAATAGCATGTTCGCGCTGTTCTATTTAATAACCAATCAGCAGGCTCAGTGATTTGTTAATTTTTTATTTTCATGCATTTCCAATTAGCATCCTTTGAAAAATCCTTCATATGGTTTCACCATAAATCATCCCAAAAAACCATAACAGGCGTAGTATCACCATTACTGTGGCAGTCGCTTTTGTAAATGCACAAAGACACCCTGCGCAAATAAAAGTAACAATCAAAATATAATTATTCGATTGGTGTCCGAGTTTTTAGTGAATCACTGTATGTACAAAAATGTGCACAAAACTAACAAAATCGAACATTTGGAGATAGGCATACCATTTTCTTGTCGTGAAATGTAAGGCGAGCTATTAAATTCGCCTATGTTTCCGATACCCTTAGCAATCCAGTCAAAATAAGCTTTCATGGCTGAGCATCCAGAAAAGAGAATTTGAATGAAAAAATCGCAGATCATTCGAAAATTTCGCGCGAAGCTCTGCAGACTGCGAGATCGACATGCAATAGCTCCGGAGACTGGTAAATCAATATCAATAAACACGCGAACAAGAGCTGAAAGCCCCAGACATCGCCAAGAAGTAAATATATAAAATCGCCGATGATTCCAAAATTCGATCGTCGAACCGCCCAGACGACAGTCTCCCATTCCAACGAACGGCGACGACAACCAGTGCCTAACCTACCCCCAAGGTCGCCGACGAGAGAAAAAATTAAACTTTTTTTATAAAATTCCACACAAAATACAGTATCATTCTACTTCTTTTTCTTATTCAGCCATTTCAGCAGCCAATCAGTGATGGACATATTAAATTAATAACAAAACAGCAACAAAATAAAGCTATGAACAGTTTAAATTTAATCAGAATTGGATCCTGCTCAGAAAACCTACTTCCGAAGGGCAACAGAGGTTAGCTTACGATGTTCAGTTAAAATGGCATATTGCTGTCTCTGAAAAACCGCCACAGCCAGTTGACTTTTGTGATGTACTTTCGAGGTTCGGTCTCAGACGCCCAACTAGTACAGTCACAGTCCGGGTTCACTCGGTGGAGAAGTGTTTTCCAAGGTTCGGGGATATTACAAGACTTGGTATCAATAAAACTTTTATTTTCTAAAATAAATCGCAGTCTATAAACACATATAATATTAACAATAATACCCTACCCATATAAATAACAAAAACATCGGGATACCTATTGTCACGAAGGCAATACGGATGTCCTGACGGTGACAACGCCGAGTGTCGCGGAAAGACCTGCTAAACACCCGGAGTCGGCCGCGAGGTAGACGTCAGGTACCGCGGAAAGACCTGCTAAGTACCCGGAGTCGGAGTCCAGGTGTGTACCTTACCTTGAGCGCCGCGGAAGAGACCTGCTAAACGCTCTGGTTAGGACACCCAGAGGAGGGTTGAGTGCCGTGGAAAGACCTACTAAGCACTGCCTGGTGTAGGTGACTCCGTTGCTTTTATACAGAACGGCTGGTAGTGCCGTGTGCAACTTCAGCCGTTGAAACGGCGACTTCGTGGGCCGTGTGCAAAATCGCGGTGCGCCAAACAATTATAATACAGCGGGAGCAAAATAAAATAAGTTCATTACTAAAATATAAATGAAATCCCGAAAATAAAAAAA